TTTTTCATTGAAACCAAAGGCTTAGCCCCATGATTACATCCATAGCCTGTAATTTCCAGTAGAGAGCCTATGATTTGTCTTTGTGAGTCCTCAAGCTGCATGTGTGTATGTGCTCAACGTCAAGTGGTTGCACTCAAATTTAAACAGACAAGCAGGTCCATAATTGGAATAATTCACTGTTACTTTCTCATTTTTTTGGTCTACCTATGTAAATATTCTAGAAATAGTAAAATGAGATTTCATGTTAAATCCAAATACCTAGATCTGAACTGTTCTTTTCATCTTCTGTATCTCCTGGAAGAGCATAATTCTGTCTCACACTTTTGTTCACATGATCTGGTATCATCTGACTAACTCCTGCAAAACCTCAAAGCCAACTTTATGTAATGGCCACCGCACAATGCACTAGGCACTATGGATATCCAGTAGGTGATTACCAGCTACCGGGGCAAGACTGGTGCGTCAGTGCCCAACCTATGGCTAAACATTAATCAAACAACTTCACCCTAAGAAACTATTTTATGTTTGAACTAAACCTTATTTTGAAGTTTAAAGGATTAAACTATGCACGATGCACTATGTAACTTATCTATGTTGCAGGAATTCAATTACAGGTGTTTTTATTGCTTAAACAAGGCAAAGCACTCTGTTAATGGAGTTGCTTCTCTACAGATTTGTTATACAACTTGGTCTGGTGACATCAGCTGCTTGTCGTCATGGAGCTTAATGTGTTTAATGCCATACTCTGAAACATTCTGTCTAGGCAAAGCAATACCATTGTGGCAGGCAGGTGACAGACTCTCCATTAGAAGAGTTACAAAACACCCCTTTAACTACTGGGCCACAAATGTTTCTCAATGCTTAAAGTCATTTCATTTAATTTTTATTAATTAATATGTAACTACTTGAGTAATATAGACACTACATATAATTGATCGCATATGCTGTAAATATGCTCTTGGTTCTCTTCATAGTTTTCTGTTGCGGCTTCTTCAGTACAGTGTGGTTTAGCCCCACTACCTCTATCCTTTAATCACACATTTCAATTTGTCCCAGAAGAAAGGCCTCCACCACAAACGCTGTGCACAAAACAGCTGAAATCATGATCCATAAACACACAGAGACAATAGTCCTTGATGTTCACAAGAGCAAAACACCACTTACAACATAGTCTAAGTTATTGTAGCCTTCTCAGAGATTACCACAAATATTTAAACATATGCAGTGATCATGGTGGAGACAAACTTCCTCTGATATCTTTTAGCAGAAGAAAACCTGTATGTCCTCAACACTATACTATGCCCTTTTTCTTGTTATATTAAGCCTATAGCATATCTGAATTGTACTGAATTGTAGTTGGTTGAATAATGAACATCTGTGACGCAATATATAGATACTAAAAGAACTATGAAGTATTTAGTTTAGGAAATTTAATTAGTTAAGAAAAGGTTTACTGGGAGTTTCCTGCTTTGGGGATATTGTGTTAGTAGCTCTTGAAGTAGTTTCAATAATATTGGTTGTCATTATTTTTTTCTGTAGCCATATATCATACTATAAAATTAGTTTCTGTGACAGGCCTACACCACAAACTCTGAAGGATAACATTAGTAACTTGTATCTGTCTTTTGCTGTAATCCTTAGGTCAACAATAAGGGCTGTGGGAAAGTGACTGTGCCTGTGCAGGTGTCCAAGGATTTGGATAAAGTGCAGAAGCTGGTGTTGGACAGTGAGCTTGGACAGACTCATCTGAGAGAGCGGAAAGTCAAGAGGGCCGTTCTCTCTCCAAGGACAGCGCTCATTAATTTTCTCATAGATGAATGACTTTATGGCATTCACCACTGCTTTTAAATGGTAGGCTGCTTGAAAAGAATATCCGGATAAGTGCACTGTTTTTAGACTTCAGGGAAAAAAATAATGTTGAACCTTTATTATTAGGGGTGTAACAATAGACAAAATATCATGATATCATATTGTCAAAAGTCTCTCAATAATATTGTGGGCCATCACAATATATCAAATCACAAGTTTCTTTGCTTAAATTCATTGTTATGGTGCAGCAATAGCTTAAAAAAAACAGAGGGAACTACATTGACCAGGATCAGTTTTGGTAGAAACTACATGAAGAAATAGCAGTTTTAAATCTTAGTTCTTCGAATTAAGTCTTGTCAAGGCATTTTAAGAGGAAAAAGTAGCATATTCACTATTTTCTTACCCTCCACAAAATATCGCAATAAATACCGTATCGTGAGATGTTTATCGTGAAAATATCATACCGTGAGATTTGGATTTTGTTACATCCCTATTTATTATGAGTTGTTACTTTGTCTTCCAAAATAATTAAATGACAACATTAGATATAATAGGACAGATAAAACATAGCACCAAATATTGAAAGTGGGATTTCAAGAGCAAAACTGTGCCTCATCACCCTTGTTCTCATTGGTATGGATAATACAACTTCATATTTCCCAGCTCTAACTTATATGCACATAAAACGCACTGTAAATATGTTCAAAACAATTTATTTATACTTTTAATAAAACATTGAATGAATTGTGTAACCAGTTCTGCTCTGTCTCTGTTGCTCTCCACTCCAGATGCCAGTCATAGTTGTTATATCTTTGTATCCCTCTTTTGACCCCACACCTCTTGTCCGCCATATATATTTTTGCCAGAGTCCCTTCCACCAATCTAGCCGCATAACTCCTCTGATTACACAAACAACGTTTGATGATTCTGTGAATTGCAGAGAATATCAAGTACTTTTTTTTTTTTTTTGTAAAGATCTGCGCTACTTCCTTTTTATTCTTGTCTGTTCTTTACACCTACCTGTGTCTATTGATTATGTCATCTGGAGGCAGAGGCGATACAAATGAAAGATTTCAATGGACAAAGGCCCGTAGTGGTGAAGTGAATCTGCAGGACTGCCCACTGGTCTCTCTTTAAATAGTGCATATGAGTCAGCACTTGTATGCTTTTAGAGCCAATATTGTTTGACATATAATCATACACAATAATGAATAATTTAAAGGAAAGTAGTTCGCTTGCATCTTTAAAATTGCACAGTAGGGAGAACAGTGTACCACTTCTTGCTAAATCAGCTTTTCACTCAGGAAGTTGTTTTATTTTTGTATATTTTCATTGTGTAACTATTTCAATATGAGTATGTCAGTTTTGGATTGGGGGAGTACAGATTTCCATTACTCGATTTTCCATATTTCTGCTCCATCAACAAAGATCAGGTGACAGGAAAAGACACTGGAGAGACACAATAACAGGAAACAAAACGGCAATGTATTTTCTAGAAAGTGTCACATCGAGGAAATGCTAAAATATCCCTTAGCATAACTAAAGTTAATATATTATCTATTTATATTATTAATATGCCCGTATCCATGAACTTCCATTGATTATCCACTAAAGTAATCTAACCCAAAATCTACTGAATAATTACCTAATTCATGCAAGATAATAAAACACTCTCACTTTTTTTTTTTTTTTTACTGATTTTTATAACTAATTTTGTCACCTCAGAAATGTTCACACATTTCATGGCGCAGCAGTTTCCATGACGACCAGTATTATTGGAAATCCCACAGTTTTACAGTGACGCACTTTCTCTATAGATGAAAGCTGTATTTCTTTTTGCATACAGTACTAAAACATGCAGTACTTGACGCGGGTTTAATGAGTTTTTTAAGTGTTTTGAATTACAAGCTACTACTGTTTGAAAAGGGTGGGTCTGGTTGCACTCACAAGGAAATTGGCACTACAACCCACAATCCCAGAGTACTATATATGTTATTGTCAGCTTTCCAGTACTTTCAGTGTGAGCTCATATCGAATACTATTTACTCGCTTGGGGCAAGTGTAGACAGGTTTAGAAGATTATTTATTTACACAAATCACCGCAGTAACCCTCTTCCAGTTTGGCAAGAATTATCTAGGCCTACTCCAATATATATCCTGCCTTTCCTCAAAACACTAATTACAATGCCCACTGCTAAGAAAATTGCTGAGCTCATAATAAGATGGTTTGTATTCAAAGTGACTGTCACATTTTAAGATTTGTGCTTCTTAAATGTTTTTCAGCCTATAAATCTCACATGGGCAACTCCTGTGTCAAATGCAATGTGGAACTTTTATGGTTGGGGGTTGCCGTTAGTTTGTCTGCATGGAAATGTTATTGCTTTGTCGAGAATGTTTCACAGTAGGGTCTTAAACCTAAAATCTATCTTACAGTTATTTACTATGGTTCAGTACTGCCTCGCAAAACTAACCTTACTGTAAGTGGGTTCCAACCAAGGCAAAGTTATAACCTGTCATTGGGGGCAGCCAGGCAAGTGGCGAACCCTCCACCAAAAAGTTTCATAGTGTGCCTTTAAATTATTTCGCTGGAACTGAAAATATTTTACTGAGGAGATCAATTAAATAATTAATCTGAGTAAAGAATGCAGAGTATTTCAAGCAAAACAATCTATGTAAAACTATTTAATGAACTGTTTGTCACTACCAGGCTGAGTAAAAACAATTAATTGTTAACGGCAATGGCAAAATGGCAAAAGATCAATGTGCAATAGTAGTCTATAGATCTGGAATCCACCTCAATCAAGCCCGTGTACCCAGACTCATTAGACTATAGTCAGTACCAAAGCTGCAGTGGCTAATCATTATGCAAATTACTGCACACTAGGAGTCAAATATGCCGTTTTGAAAAGTTAAACGAAACGATGACTGAGCTTTTAAGTCTATATCCTATTTGTACCACTTAATTACCATGTAACTTGGAGCCTATATTGTCCTAGCCATGTCCTACAGCGTATGGAAATAGGTTATTTTATTTTTAACTGGCCCTTATTTAACCTAAACATAAACATGATCTATTTATATATGCTGCTGTTAAAATAGTTTATGACTACACGAAACTACCCTGGCCCAAACTACTCTGTTTGGTTCAACATAGACCCCGCAGCTGCGCACCGTGAGCACTGCGCACTGCGCCTTTAAAAACAATCTGTTTTCAGTGGCAGATTTCGACCGGTGGCCACGTACGGCAGCGCGCTCCGATTACCCCGCGGTCTTCTGTCAAGGCAGCACTGATTTAAGTTGTGCCTTACGTGCCTTAATCGACGGAGCTGGCATATTATCGACTTTCATCAACTTTGGGAGTGTTTTTCTGCAGGATAAAGTTTTGAATGAGTCTTTCCCGGTGGGACTGTAAAGCGGGAGGAGGGAGGGGGCACTTATAGCGGGACCAGGATCAGGTCTGATTTCACACACAAGCGGTTTGTTCGAGGAGAGCTGAGCTGGACACCAGAGGTCGGTCAACTTTTCTACGTTGCACCTCGGGTAATAGCGAGTGGAAGGACAAAGTTGCGTTAGGACATTGGACTTCTGCCCTCTATGGGGACAAACTGTAACTGGTAAGAAGACTTTTCCACTGGAATAAATAGACTTCTTTTGGCTGAACTTTTTCACTACTACAAAATGGATAAATACGAGGATCTGGGACTCGAAGCAAGCAAGTTCATTGAGGACTTGAACATGTACGAGGCGTCCAGGGATGGTTTATTCCGAACGAGAAGGGACGCAGGAAATAACCCTGACTTTGAAGAGACAAGGAGAGTGTTCGCCTCCAAAATGACAAAAATACACATGCAAAAGCAGCAAGAGGAGATGGCAAAGAACAACCAAGCCTTAAGAATGAACGGGGGTCACAACAACACGTATTATATCAAAGACAGACCACCAATAAACAGTTTTAGACAGTCTGGGGAGGCAGCCGCCAAGCCCCCCATGCTCTCTGCCCCAGCCGCGGGTCAGTACGCGCACTCCGCTATCCAACCTGAGTCTCCAACAGCTAGAGCGCACGGCTACGGAAACAATTACGATAATAGGGAGAGTCTAGACCCACATTCATACCAACACAACACCTCTACTTCTCCCAGCCCAGGAAATGCGTCTCAGAGCGTGCCCACACATCGCCAGCCGACCGGGCATGCTACTTCCTGGGCCCCATCTATAGAGGCACAACTTTCCCAAACTTTGTCCGGCGGTACCAGTGCACCCCAGTCTCCACAGCACAAGCCTGCTCTTCCCATCACCAACAACAGTCTTTCATCTCAGCACAATCAGCCCGGAGCCCCACCAGTTAACCGCAGTAAAGGATGGGCCAGTGACCACCAGATTTCAGCCAAACCAGAGCCTATCCCTTCCCTGCCTCTCAGTGCCTTCACAGGAGGAGCGGACTTCAATGTGCGCCAGTCCTCCTCACAACAACAACAACCAACAACTCAGTACACTTCATCTCCATCTTCCAAACCTTTAACCAACCACAACGGCCCCTCTCTGGTGCCATTGGATACACTCAAAACTAAGGATATACCAGCGTCTGTTGTACCTGTCAGTAAAAGTCCCAGCCAAGGTCAAAGTGTGAACCAAATGTCAAACAGTGGAGATGCAGTCATCCCTGAACCCCCAAAGCTTCCACAAATGCCCTGCCAATCTCCTGTCCCAGCAGCTCTCGACCAGGGCCCCACAGCAGCCGAAATAAAATTAGAAGCCATCACTAAGCGCCTGGAAAACGATATGGATTCACAACCAAAGCAGGATTACTTTGGTAAGAACTTGTTGTGACCTGACACCAATAAGGGCGGGGGTCCTCTTGTCCTCAACAAACACAGAACATTATGGAAGTTTGTATGTAGCTATCTTCTCCATTTGCTCAGTATTCTATCTATCCATCTCATTTTACATTTCTAGTAATACAAGTCTATAGTAATACAGCAGCCCACTTTTTAGTTGATACAATGAGCAATTCTTTATTGATTTTTCATTGTACTCTTCGGAAAATACATTAACGGCAATCGAAACACATTACTATGAAAGGGCATCAAACTAATTCATAAAATCATGGTGTTAATTGTACTTTACCTTTTGACATTAGAGACGTCAATGACAATAATAAAGAGATAACGTAGCCTACTGAAAATGCAGTAGAACAGTGACTCTCAAACTTTATAACCTTTATACCTAAAATATTTGGCTTTCTGTGCAACACCAGGTCTACAATAGGACTATTCTTGATCAAAACAAAACAGAACGTGGATAAAAGTGACACTAACTTAAAAACTGTAGAGGAATCCATGTAACATCAGAAGGAACTTGGGTACATGTACTAAACTACACTGTATAGGTTTACAAAAGTGAATGTTCTGAATGTATGAAGCTGCATTTAGAGAAAAGCCATTGCTGCCACACAGTCCAACCACTTCTGTGATGCCATGAGTGCATTTCATATCCGCGGGGCCCATGGAGCGTTTATTTGTGTTTTGTTGCAAATGTCAGTGTCACGACAAGCTCAGAAATAGTGCAGTGGTTTGAATATTCTACACGTGTGGGCGGGCAGAGTGTAATCACCACAAGTGGAGGTTTTTAAGTAATGCGCTTCAGTTTATCTATTTTTACTGATATGGTCCCACGTAGAGCCCACACAGAGATCCTGAATGAAGTTTCCCACTAGGCCAAGTCTCATCCTCTGAGTCATGCTGCTACATTGGATAAACGGATGTAGTTTTCCACATGTACCACAAAGTCTATTTAAAACAGTTAGGAATTAAAGGGGCATGTTTATTCCTTTCAGATTAGGAAGAATAAATTGGCTTCATTAGGCTAGTCAAATATACGGCCATCCAAGCAACTGAACTCTTTTAGTCAGTCCCAAAACCTACATAAATAGATGAAAAAATACATCTTTTATCACAAAGTGGCATCTAAAGCTGACCGCATGTTCTAGCGTCCTCTCTTATGAGCTTGAAAAAAGAAAAGAAGAAAAGAGTGTAATTACTAAACTGTAAGAAGATACCAATTAACAAGTGCCAAATGTCTAACTACAAAATAATATCTGCATGCAAGTTAAAATGCTGTTGTGGTATTGATGAGGAAAATGAAAACGTAACTGTTACAAGCATGGCAAGATGAGAGAAATTTATCAGGAAGAATTTTTTTACATGCTAAGACTAAGACAATTTGCTACAGTTTGCAACTACTGAAAGAAATGTGACAGAAGATTTCAAAAATTATGCTATTATGGCTGTATTTTGACTCACACACAGCTGTACAGGGCTGCGGTGCAACAAGTAGGGAGAGTGCTGATTGGCATAAGTGCAGATGGAGGTTCTGGGAAAGTGGTCTGGTGCCAAACGGCTGCACCGAGGGAACACACTGGAATGTCTGGAGGAAGACAGGGAGGAATTTTAAAAACGAGCCTTAAAGATACAAAGAGTACTGATAATTTAAGAGGTGCTCAATGTATGGCTGGATAAACTAATGGATGTAAGGGGTAAACTTGAAGACTTCTCTTTGTGCTACATCACAAAGCTTGAGTGCTGGACATTTGTAGAGTTCACCCCAAAAGGCAGAGGATAATACAGCCATATATTTTTCCATGGTCTCAATTAAAAGCCCTGTATTATGCAAAATTGACTCTTGTGAGCTTTAAGCCATGGTAGACTGTTCGTTTCTTCTTAAAAATATACATGGAGTTGTGCTTTGTTTCATTCATACATGTTTGAGTAATCCGTTATTAGTCTGTCTACATCTCCAAATGGCTACCTTTTACCTTTTGTTCACTAGAAATTGGCAATTCCAGGGCTGAAATGACCAAAATGATTCCAGTGAAATATATGGAGTTTAAAAACACAGAGGAGCACTTCCAGAGTTTACTGTTTGAGGGAAGAACTCAACTAAGTAGGCAGGGTTTGTGTGTTAAACATGTGTAAATGAAACAAAACACAACTCTAGATATGTTTTTGATGAGGAAACAACATTATAACAGATTAGAAAATAGCGTAGTATGGGACCTTTAACATTTGGACTAGCCCTTTCATGCAGCATTAATTTCTCCCATATGGTAGTAAAATTTTATACCAACTTCTTCCCAGGGTTTTGGCTTGTTCTCAGTGTGTTTTAGGGTGAGTTAATGTGTTTCAATTGACTTCCTGTCTTTTCCATGCCTGGTTTTAATATTTGACTTGCGCATGAAGACACAGCACCATTCATTTCATTTTGTAAACTCGAATTTCAGAGGTATTTTTTTCAAACTTAGTGCTCATTCATGGCTTTTAAAGATGTTTTCTCTGCTAAATAGACTGGCACTTGTGCAAAAAGTAGTCCTTAAGTTTTGACAGCTGGGAAAAGTGAAGAAGAATTTGGTGTTTTGCTTCCCTCCCCCTAATTTTCAGGCTAGCTTTTTTAGTCCCTGAATAATATAAATATTTTTGGAATATTGGGCTATGTTTTTTCCACATAGAAATACTGAAGGGTAGTACAGGTATTTCAGTCAGACAAGAAGGACACCATAGGACAGGAAATTAAAATTAAAGAGTCTTATATACGTTAGTCTTGTCACGATACAAAAATTCCAAACTTGATTCAGTACAAAGGAAAATCATAAATACGCAGTACCAGTTTTATTATTTTATCTTAAAAATGAGAATATGCACCAACCCAAAATAATGATAGTTTCTCTAGTACTACCATTCGGTCTTGATATAGATCAGTTTGGTTAAGTATCAGTTACAGATAGTATGTGGGGATCAACTCTAATACATAAACATGAAAAATTAAGAAATATTGTATGCCAGAATAATCATATATTATTTAAAGGGCTCATATTTACGTTTTCTGGTCTATGTTATTATGTTGTTTCCTCATCAAAAACCTACCTGGAGTTGTGTTTTGTTTCATTCATACATTTTTAACGCAAAAAACCCTGGCTGAGTTCTTCTCTCAAACTACATTTTAACTAAAGCATTGGAATTATATGCGAGTTGTCTGAGTCTTAAAGTGGTCCTCTTCATGTAAACAAAATATCTTCATAATTGCTGCATTCCATTGCTTTCTACGAATACCAAATTGTTATCCCTCATCTTTTTCCATTCACTAAATCCTCTAATATATCCAATGATGACACGGGGAGTATCTTGGCATTTTTATTTATAGTCCCATTGTATATTGTCTGTCACTGATGGTCTATGAGGAAACATTTGAAGAACATCATTAAGTAACAATGTTTTTGGAGGCAGCGACCACGTGATGCATGTTAGTTACACTGGAAACAGAAGTGTCATTGTTTTTGTGAAAAAGGCTGAACCGGGTCTCATATCTAACATAATATATGAACTGTTTTTTTCTATTACTGTTTTCACTATAGTACAAACTTACATTCCGCAATGTTAATTAGATATACTATTTTTAGACAGTTATGTAATTTTCAAGACAAAATAATAATAGTACTACATGGTCTTATATTGTTTATCATGCAGACTCTAATACACAACCCTACCGTAATACAATTATTGATACCTGCTTAAATGAGAATACTTTGATACTAGGTTTAGAATCGGTTTCTGGGTATTGAATTACCTGATAACCCTCTTCGGTGTATTTTTTTCATATAAGGAATGCATGTAATACACAGTTGATGTCTCTGTGATATTCTAATCTGAAAGTCCTTTAGGAAAAATCACTTCTTATCCGTCCAAGCTGGTTCTTGGTCAGTGGTGAGTGACCGTGGTTGACATAGTACATAGTCTAAACCAACAGTATATTGTATGGTTTGATAGCTCAGCTGTCCAGGAAGCAGTGGGAGGATGAGATGGTAGAAAATAGAGCAGCACAATTTCATTATTCAGTTAATTTATAATAATAACTTCACTTCAAACTTTGTTCACCATTCACATTACTGATATGATATGAAAACATCTTTTATCAAAGGCCTAATTAAGATGTTTATATATGTCCCAGCCAGATCAAATAAACAGTTTGAAACATATTTCCTCTTTTAATAACACACAGTTAACCAGTTTCCTGACTAAGAATTCAGTGTTATTCTATCTCTGTTGCACAAGGATGACATAATATGAATTTAATATCCATATCCTTGTTCCTTTTATTGTTGCACAGTAATAGTGTAATGAGAACATCTTCAGTGCTGTTAATATAATATGCATGTGAACATCTTGTGACTTGGTGTCTGTTGTGTTTCAGGGCTCTGTGTGAAGTGTAACAAAGGTGTGTATGGAGCGGGCCAGGCCTGTCAGGCCATGGGCAGCCTGTACCATGACAGCTGCTTCACCTGCAGTGCCTGCAGTAAGTACAGCCCACACGATGTTCTCCCATTTGCTCTTAAGACTTTAATCTTTTGTTCTGCTTCAGTTTGATGTCGTCAAGACCCTGTTCTTTATAAAGGCACTTCCTCTTTCCTTATTCACTGCTGCCCCAAGCAAAGCCACACAATTATTCTGGGATCACTATACTGGTGTTCAGTGTCTGGGCGTGTCAGTCACACCTTCTATAGAAAGACATGATGAAAATTTGCTTTTGCTTTCAATTCTCCAATTATATATTAAATTATATTATTTGATAAATTAAGATAAGTTAATTTCCTAGTCCCTGCACCATTATCCTGACCTTGGTCAGTTAGCCATGCTGTACCTGTGACATTTGGTGACCAGATATTTTTATCAGATTATTTGTGCTAAATATTTCTGGCACTTTTATCACCCCAAGCATAGCCCCATTATTCCACCTCACCTTTGACCTTTGGGCTTACAACCTTGAATGGCCAACATCTCTGTTTGCTTGTGTCCTCCCTGAGAGTGCACACTAGTGTGACAGACAAAAAAAGAGGGAAACTTGTGTCTTAAAAGTGGTCAGTGGAGTTTACACACCACATACCTCTCATAGCTGGCCTCATGTGGGGCCAATGAGGGTTATGCATGCGGCAGCTACCAACGCCATGGGAATGCCTCTGAGCTGGGGCGGCATGCAGGCAGGGGTCTTGTTGAGGGAGCTGCTAAAGGACACTGAGCTATGTGTCAGAGAGGCTCCACATGACAAACACTGTTACTATTGACAGAGCACTGCCCACCACATTCAGCGTGCACTTATTGTTACTTATTGCTGGATTTCAGGTGACATCACATCATTCATATTTCATACAGTTGAGAGCAGCTAAAATATCAATTGGTACAATGCTAATCTTTGTTGTAATACAGGGAGTTCTGTGGTCTGGTCATTAATAGAACTGATCAGGTGAATTGTCCTTTTAGATATTTTGTAGAAGAAAAAGTGAGTAATTAAGTGTAAGTATAAAATGTAAACGAAGGGGGAAAAAATGGGCTATCCCCCCATCTCAGTGTATGACAAATCATATCCTAGAATTGTAAGTTTACAGCCATTTCACTGTAAGCATTGAGTTCAGACTTCGAATTAAGAAATTGGTCATGTTTTGTGTTAAATAGCACTGGTTAAATATGTGTTGTTCATGAAATAAGACTCAAGGACATTTTTATTTAGTTTTGAGATAAAATTCCATCAAAAATCTATATTATTCACTGCTTGGCCCTACCTACTTTATTTGGTGTAGTTCCTCCCTTTTCAGAGAGGAAGGACATTCCTGCTGCTGCTAGGAGCTCATGTCCTTCACAGCGGGGGGTGTCTGCAGCCAATCATTAACAAACACTTCAACTCTTAAACCTAGTGCAGCTGGAGATTGAGGAAGTCCATTAGGTTTATACAACAACATAAAACGTTGACTTGAGATTGCTTGAAAATATTCACAGATAATAATGTGCAGCTGAACTTCCCTCTGACCATGACCAAGGTTAAGGCCAGTGGTATGCTTACATCTGGACAGGAGCTTTCTACTGTTTAGACAAATTGCCCCAGGGGCTGTTTACTTTATGAATACATGTTTCGTGTGTATTAAAGATGAAAGATTATGTTTTTTTGGTATTAAAATATAATTTGCATACTGTAGGTAATTGGAGTATGGGGCTGCAGCAATTCCCTCAAATAGACTGGACCCATGGAGTGCAAACATTTGAAAACAATTAATAACATTTTAAATTGCAGGGAGCTAGTGCAGGTTACACAGCACAGGTGTGATGTGTTCTCATGTCTTGTTTTCTTAGTATTTGTCAGCGCTGCAGGGAGCTCTGGTCCAACCAGACATACAAAGAATTGCAATAGTCCAGGCGTGATGTTACAAAAGCATGGATAGCTCTTTCAAACTCATTTTACATGAGTTCTAATTTTTCTAATCATTTAATCTAATCATGTTGTTAATTGTAAATGGCAGCATTCATTTAAGCACATTAATAATAGTAGTACAAATGACTTCTTGTTCATACTCCTGTAACTCGTCTTCATTTTCAAATTAATTCTATCTCACTGGTACACAGATGTACATGGGGATAGGGGTAGATGAAAACTAATAGTTTCAGAATGTTCAAGCATCAATAACAGGACAATGCAGGATTGCATAAAACAGTTGATCAAAATACAACTTTGAATAAGCTATTAATGAGGGAACACCATTATAACATGGTTAAATAATGGCTGATTTTGTATAACATGACTCCTTTACGGTTTCAGTGATGAATCTGTCTAAGGGAATCCAAGAGTGTTGACTGTTTTGCAGCATTGTGTCAGCCTCTGAAATTCCTAGTAGTAAATTGCTTATTTTCTTTATGGAATCACATAAATCAAATGTATGTTTAATTAGAGACAGCCCTGTGTTTAGGCTCTGGCCCTCAGGCACTTAATGTTTTTGTGATAGTGTAGTGTTTTTAGACACCTTTCAAAGTGTCTTCTCTGACTCCTGACTTTAATTAAGCTCTTATCTTCACACAAAGCTCAGGGCCTTTTTCTCCGTCTCATTGGAAATAAAGACAGGAATGTGGAAAGAGGGGTCGTCCGTATCTCACTGTCATCCCCTCTTCACTTATAGACACTGAAGGTAATTACCTCAAATGGATCAAAATGTCCAGGTGGCTCCTCTATTATATTTGCCTCAATCACTTTTAGTCTGGGCTATTTTGGCCATTATGATGTTGTTAAGGCCGATAATTGTATTGCCAATAACTATTTCAAAGAATTCAAGTGGTCCAGATTACAAAGGGGAATCACAAGATATTCTATTATTTGATTTTTCTATTATTATTTTTTCAGTTTATTGGATAACAACCAACTATTTGACATGCTATTCTTAAAGAAAACTGCTGTAAATACTAGTATCTTTTTTTTTTTTTATGTCAGAAGATTATATTGTTTTTTACTGTCTATTTTTACTTGAGGAAAGCACTTTTATAAACTTGTAAAAAATGACCCTGACCTCAACATTTTACTGATCCATATGGAATTTTTTTAATGGTCTATTCCTAATGCATTCTTCATATGGCATGCTACTGTTCTGGTTTCTTTTGAGCAACAACAAAGAGGCAGGTATACCAGGTACCAGATGAACCAGGGGCTCATGTTTTCCACAGTTAACCCCTCGTCCCCCCCTTCGTTTGGAAAATGCCTGGAATGTTCCTTCTTCCTGTGGGACCTGAGCAAGCAGAGTTACATAAAGCCCACAACGCATTTCTGTGCATTGGTGTGTGTTGCATCTGTGTTAAAAGCCAGATCCAAAATATAAACAGTCACAGACAGACCGGAAACAAGGAAACCACATGGAAAGTACACGCACAGAGCAGCAAGTCCAGCGTAGCCATGAAATCTAATAGAGCAGGTAGTTTAATTCATTGCACCTGTCTTATAATTGGATTAAATCACCAATTTTCCGCAGTGTGTCGTGTCCAGATGTGATCCAGGTTCTACACAGGGCTAATCAGTGCTGGGACAGTGTTATACTGAGAAACACATCTTAGGTCTGCTGAGTTGATGTATTAGCAGGATATAATTAATATTGCAAGAGGCTTCATTACCCTCCAATGGCTGCTATTAATCATCATAGTCATTATGCATAAGAGCTGTAACTGCTAGTTTCTGAGTTGGAAAATTGTACCTGGTAGATTTCTAAAAGGTACTGGAAAATTATATAATAGCAATTTTAAGTGTTTGAGTGGATATGTTTAAACCCAATGTATTTTTAAATAATTAAACTTACTGTTATTTATTTGTTTTGTAGGTCGGAGACTGCGTGGTAAAGCATTCTACTATGTTGGAGGAAAGGTTTTCTGTGAAGAAGACTTTTTGGTAAATTTATACGAAGTTAAATTAGATTTAGTTAGTTGTTTGACACCTACATTTGACTCCTACTTTAATACCACTGGTACAACCTTGACAGATTAAATTGAATATAACCCAAAATCTTTTACTCATACCATGCATTTCAATTCTTTATTTCCTGCCCTTTAAACAACTTTAGTGTACAACTTGATATATGTTGGTTCAAGTTTAATTTCGGTCAGGAGGGTATGACCTTTTGACCTGTTTTCAGCATCTTATGGAGCCTATTCATATCAGTTTCCTCCCCTGGGTGGCACTGAAAGGAGGTCAGAAACAGGAGACTGCTTTGCTATGGTTTATATTGAGGGAAGCCATGTCAGGCCATTCACACAGGAATTGAATTTTGCTTTAAATTATCACCTATGCATATTCAGTTCCAAATTTTGCTATATATGGTTTTGTAAGTACTTTTAAGCATCTTAGCCTTGATCTATGTCAAATCAAATTTGAAAACATAAATTTCTGTACTATCACCTGATGAAATTTTCTTCTCCATTTGCAAGATATTAACACATATTTCATAATAGCACAGTTAAACTTTGCAGAATAGGGCTTTTAACTGCAAACTTAATTAGCTGTATTTTTTCTTAACGCTTTTCTCATCTGTTCCTTTGTGGGTTTGGCCTTACTGCGCTGAAGCTGAATAGGTAGCACATAATAAGGCTTAAGTGTTCAAGTACGGTATCTATTTAATTGTCATCCTTGAAAACCACAGCAAATTAATGTCTGGTTATGAAAACTTGCATTAAAAAAGCGTAAACTGCAGAGATACTAAGATATCAAATTAGCGTTTTATCTCAATCCTACAGCATTTCATTGATTTCTGTCAAATAATAAAAAATACATTTAAATTACATCATTGTGGTTTCCTTTCTGTTGAAGTACTCAGGCTTCCAGCAGTCAGCAGACAAGTGCAACGCATGTGGACATCTGATCATGGACATGGTGAGTGCCAGTAACCTCTGCGGATTTGTGGGTCTGCTTATAAGGGCGGATATTTATCACATTGTGGGGACTAAAATCTGTAAAGTCATTTTATTGGAACGTAAATCTTTTATTATTAGATCAACAACGTGGTTTTAAATTCAAATATGGGTTACAGATTAAGGTTAGGTAAGTAGTAACAATGGTTAAGGTTACTATCGGTCTCCAGGAAATTAATGCAAGTCAGTGTAATGTTCCTGAGAAGCCTGGAAACCCAATATGTGTGTGTTTGTGTGTGGAAAGCTTGACTTGTTTCACTGTGAATGGATTTTCTGCGGCTACATCTGGATAAAGAATTAAGACCACTATATGGTTCTGCACATGCATTTTCTATCCAGCCTAGTCCTTAGTGCTTAATCTTACAAATGAGTTACTAAATCTGATTGTTTTTCTGTGTGGCAGCAAATCCTTTCTTTATTTTGTCCCATTTCTTGATTTCTTGGTCAAGTTGACTTAATGTGAAGATATTTGTCCTGGTTTTGACGCAGCCTTTCTATCCATGCCATTGCTGTGACTCATAACAAGGAGCTTATTGTGTTGTACTAACTCTATAGGACACACAAATATGTTTAAAATCTGGTGTTTATTCTCATATTCACAGCCACTCTTGATGCCAAATGTCTTATATTTATCTGGTATCTGGCACATACTAAAAAAATTTAAAACTAATCATATTTGTCCTTGCATTAGTTTGATTTTTCTTTTAAAAACAAATGACAACAGCTCTTAATCTTTATTTCAAGAGCCTTAATAAGACAACATTAAATCAAATTTATTCTTCCAAAGTCTGATATGTAAACCATGTCTTACTGATAGATGACTGGTAAATGGTCATCGTAAATGGTCACATTTTTATATAGCGCTTTTCCACCTTCAAGGCACTTTACGTCAATGAATCACTTCCCAATTCACACACATTCTTACACCAGTATACGCTGACAGAGATGTGTCTTGCCCAAAGACACAATGACAATATCGGTGGGAGCTATGGATCTGACTGATGTTTATGTCGAGAGCGGGATTCAAACCACCAGCCTTTGGATCAGTGGATCACTCTACCACTTGAGCTACTGTCACGGCCTCTTGTCCGTAAATCTGCTGAGTAGAAAGCCTCAAGCTGAACACTGACAATTTGAAACTCTTATATCTGAATCTGATTAAAATTCTCATACACAACTTTATATCTGTTCCTTTCTTAACAGATTCTGCAGGCTCTGGGGAAGTCCTACCACCCGGGTTGTTTCCGCTGTATTATCTGTAATGAGAGTCTGGATGGAGTGCCTTTCACTGTCGACACTGAAAACAAGATCTACTGTGTCAAAGACTATCACAGGTACGGTCTTACTCTGTGGAGCACTTGTGTTTACTGTTTGCTACAGAGATTGATCACACACACAGCAAGAAGATGTGCTTGGAATAGTGTAAAAACAAAAACAAAAAACAAAAACAACATGATATGCAAATAATTAATAGCAGAATTACCTAGTCATTATCTATAATAGGGTATACAAAAGTTCTCCATTATGTGTCCAGCTTTGTGAATTCAGACTTTTTGTGATGTTAATGTGACAATAATAGTCACATAAAAAACACATTACATTTAAATTTAGCTACTTTTTTATATTTAGTGTAGATAAAACTGAAAAATCTAGTTTTGCTTCTAAAATTATCATGAATTATCATTTCTGAACACATTAATAGTCATCTGTTAAACAAAGAATCTAACAACCGCTAACTATGTCTGGCCTACATGTTATAGAGCGTGACCAAATCCTACAAATGTCAATGTGTCTGTGTAGTTAGTTTAACATAGTTTAGCGTGACACTGTTAAAGTAGTCTTGGTTTCAGCTTCCATGTTGAATCACTGTGTTAGCCTGTTCACTTTCCTCTGTACTCCAGATCAGGTTGGTAAGGACTGCGGTAGTCTGAGTTGCCACGTGTAGCTGACACATGAGAAGTGCAGTCTGGGAGATGAGGAGGGGCGTCCCAAGAGTGGTCCGTCACACCATGTTGTTGACACTGGGATACTCTGTTAGCTCTGGACAAATATAGAGCTTGTTTGAGAGAAAGATTGAAGACTTATGCTGCTTCTGTTAACAGTTTATTTACTCAAAATTGCTATTTCAATGGTCACAATTAGAAATTGCAATTATTTAAAGGTGCATGTACAATTTCTGTTGTAGGGTCCATCACTGACTGTCTGAATGAAATTGTTATTGCTTTGCCTTGAATGTTCCACAGTACAGCATTAAACGTACTGTAACTCTCAAACATCTACCAAGCAGGTGACATCACCAGGCCAAGTAACAGGGCAGATCTCAGCATGATTTTCAACGTGCTTTTATTTTAATGCCTTACTTTAGACATTCCAAGCAAAGCAGGATGATCTCCATGGGGACATGCGGCGCCCCCCTCCATAAAAGTTACATATTGCAACTTTAAATAGCAGAATATCTTGTGAAATGCTGGTGATTCATGTATTAAATTGGTAATATAAATTCCAGTCTCTACTCAGTTGTTAATGGTCCTGCTTAAATTTTAAATGTACACTGTGAACTGAATTTAAAAACAAATTGAACTCTGCATCGTTCAGCTGGAGCTCATACTATAATGAAGACGGTCACAAACCCCACCTCATAACATCTAGCAGCAGCTCCTCTTCCTGCTGGGACACTGTGTACAAAATAAAGCACATGGCCCTCCACTGTCCTGTACACCACACAGATCAAATCAGACTGATCTTATTGTGAATAAAGCTACGTGTTGACTCTTAACCACAGTCATGGCTGTCCACACTCAAAGGCCTTTTGTTATTCACTCAGAGCTCCAGGTGCCTGCCAGCTGCACACAACTGCCTGGCAATAATAAGTACATCTACCCCCTTTTGTACTTTTTTGAAGAAAAAAAGTCACATATTTGAAGGAACGCCAGCACATCTGCAAACCTGGCTCTGCTTTTGTTGAGCCTAAACTTAAATGTAGACAGGGGAAAAAAGAATAGCATATTTGTGAGAGCTAAATGTTTATTTGATTTGTTCATTTACTCAGATCTGTCTAGTAAACAGTAATAAAGCTGTCTACAATTTCTCACTCTTTTATCTCATTTCTCTAATTAACAGGGTCCTTGCTCCGAAGTGTGCAGCCTGTAACCAGCCCATTCTACCCTCAGAGGTAAACGACATCTACTTCAGTGAAAATTTTAGTTTTAATCATGCCATTACAATTTGCTAAATTCGCCAACAATAATTAATGATAGTAATTAATTGTATGTATTTTTGAAGTAGGAAAACAAGGAATCAAGTATCTCTTTCTACTTGCACACGTAGACTGTAGGCTGATCTTTAACATTTGCACTGAACTATTTAGTTTAAATGACACACACTAATTATAAAATAGTCTGCATGGATTCCATATTGTATTTAAAACGCTACACTATTTACTATCTATATTATATCTTAAGTTGCATTTGTTATTTTGTCTTCAGGGTTCAGATGAAACTATTCGCGTGGTATCTATGGACAATGATTATCACGTGGAGTGCTATCACTGTGAGGTGAGACTTGGTATTACCTCTTAAATCTTACATAAAGTTAAATAGGAGTGCAATTAGCAGAGCATTTGCCCTAATATTAACATCTTTATATATTTTTTAAGAACCAAAGGTCATTTTTGGGTTACTATGCATAATATCCCAACAAAAACATGATATGATAACACATTACAAGCCTATTATAATGTGTTTCTTCAATATTTTAGGACTGCAAAATGGAGCTGAATGATGAGGAGGGCCATCGCTGTTACCCTCTGAATGGCCACCTCCTGTGCCACTCGTGCCATTTGAAGCATTTAGAGCACAATGGGCCCTCCTCTGTGTCCCCTGTCTCTTACTGATGTTTTTATGGATCAAGAGCGACATCTGGTGGATACTAGGTGCTACTGAACAGCACACATGGACAATGATGAAGCCTATATTTTACTACAGGAATTTGTGGAGATCATATCAAAAAGCACTGTGTTTTAATAGATGTTAATGAAGTAGTAGACTTGCCCTGGGAGCATTTTTAACACCTATTAAAATGGTATCTACCATAATGAAGTTTTCACATAGACACCAAAGCTGCCTTGACAAATACTAATAATTTCACAATGATTTTACAATAATGAAAAATGTGCCTTAAGTTAGTGACTCGGGCTTTGTTTTTTCCAGCACACTCAGAGCAGAACACATCTAACAAAATGCTAAATGTCCAGAACTGTGACATACAGTGTTTGATTTCTGAAGTTGCATTGGCCAGTGCAAAAATAAAAAATAAAAACAACAGTTAATTTTACTTTAACTGTTACTGGCAGTTGTTGTTTAAACAGTTATTTTTCTGTATGCCTATGGTGTGATTAGCACTTACAATCTTTGGGGTTTTTTTCTTCCTGTTTTTGTGTGTGCAGGACAATTAATAGCCTATTTTATTTAAGCATTCTTGTTTCCCCTTGTTTTGTTTTTATTTTTATTTTATTTTTTTGTTTTTGGTTTTGTTTTGATAAACTTTTAACACTTGCGGTTTGCCTAATCATTGGCTATAAATTGGCATAGCCAAACTATATAGCGTTCTGTCCTTGCAAATTAGAACTCTGTATTTTGTGGCTGTAAAGAACATATTTAATAAATGTTTTACATTATACAAAATCAGTGAGCTTTCCTTTACATCGACATCAAACATTGACATGCAGTCAACTCATTATGTCAAACAAACTTTATTGATCCATAGATCTAGTCTTAATGTAAAACACTTCATCTCTTCATACAGATTGGTCGCTAACAATAGGTGCTAATCATATTGCCTCTAATAGTACATTGCCCTAGCTTTGTTGGTCCACAATTACTTGACACGTTTTCCAAAAAAAAAAAAAAAAAAAAAAAAACGTAGCCCAATGTACACGTGCTGACAGAAGACTGCCTAATTAGCGCATTGTATTTGGAGTATTCGTATATTTGCGGTTTCACTTTCGTTTTTCCGATGATAATGTTTAGGTCGGAATCAAAGCAGGTCGAAGTGAGTACTTCAAATTCAGTCAAAAAACCGATCATGTAATAAAACTTTGTTCAAATTCAAAAGTTTCGAGCCAGCCAGGAGTCGAACCTAGAATCTTCTGATCCGTAGTCAGACGCGTTATCCATTGCGCCACTGGCCCGTTATAGCACGAATGTTCGTCGGTCAATTTTGACTTAAAATCAAAGTAGGGGTGATCTATAATGTTTTTTAGACGCGTTAAAAGACGCTAAAAATAAGAACGGAGCAAAACCTTATTTTTTTTCCTTTATCAATAGCGCAACCGCAGTGTTAAATCCTGCACAGACAGGTAGTTGTTATTATTGCAGTACCGGATTTTTCCGGCAGATGGCGGAGCAAAACAAGAATCCACTCACTGATGACCTGAGAAGACGTCGCAATTTATCTTTATAAAGATCGTTGCACACCGCCAAGACTTGTAGAGTACTTAAGATTTTCTCTGTCCCGTTATGTACTTTATTTAGGTGTGATGTTAAATATTTAAACAGTGTTTTTCAAATGACCTATTTATTATAAGGCTAAGTTTGTAATGTGTAATTTTCTCTCCCCCCTTCTATTTCTTGACCACGCCTCTCTGGTTTACTCCCCCAATGACGTCAGCCCAGTCCTCCCTATGCGGGGGTAGTGTGGATGGGTACTGGCTGCAGGCTGCACCGTGGAGAAAAACGTGCCTTCACTCGTGTTGTGTCAGTGGCTGCCCACCTCACTGAGACCCCTGTTTTATAACAGCACCACAGCCGGATCGATGGATCTATAGAGGATGCATGCACGCGTGCAGTTGTTTACAAAGGTGGGGTGACTTGTCTGTTGGAGCTGGGACCGAGGCGCGCTGTCACATCTAAGCTTATGGTATTCCTAATTCTGGGATACTCTTTTTGTAGATAAAGGAATCTCAGAACTCCTCATGGTGCTTGAAGGGTGAGTACTAGACACAGCTTTATCATGCACAAATGTGTGAATGATCTGCATGCTTGGCTTTGTTTGCATTGCAGTATGCGTCTGACAATCGGCATGCTGCACATTTCACAGAATACAATGCACTATACATTTTGCGGTCTATTGTGTAGGTTGTATAATAACTCAAGTCTCTTGTTTCAGCAGTGAGATGGATGGCATTGGGAACACCATGCAGAAGAAGGCTGCAGAGCTGGAGCGTCTGGCCGAGGTGCTGGTCACTGGAGAACAGCTAAGGTACAGTTACAGTAATTGTCAGTCATAGTGGTCATAGTCATAATAGTCCGGGCCATATTCTTAGAGCACACCTAGAAACAAATCTGCAACTTGTTATAAAACATTAATCATGGACATGGTACTGAATCTGGTTATCTGGGCAAGTCATAACAGAAGACGTCAATAGTCCCCATGCAGAACTCTTAGCAACAGTGGTTGGTATTTTAGACACCTCCAGACCAGTGAAAATCACACAGAACACTTAGATTAGCTGGAGCGATCTCTTACTGTTTGGGTTATCAGTTTGTGTTTGCTGCATGGTGGACTTCTACTGTTTGTTCCCTGTGACCCCTCCCTGGCTCTGCTTTCCACTGAGCAGGCCAGCTGGCTCGTTGACCAGTGTCAGTGAATAAACGTCTGCTACATGTTGTTTGAATGAAAAAAACACTTGTGTTAAACTCTGTTTAAACTACTTCCCACTGTCATTTGTACAAAATAGTTTTGTGTTCAGATATTGCTCTTTTTGTTTTCATTTTATTTTACATCAGCATTATTCAATATTGAACTAAAGTTGTAAATATATGAACACTGCCTTTATGTATAACCCAACTCAAATCCACACTTTTTTTCTGTCTTTCTCTCAAGCAGAGCCACAAATCAAAATTTTTTCTTATTACAAAATGATGTTTTCGTTTAACAATTAATAAACACAACTAACCAATACAGCTGGCATCAATAACAAAAAACTTCAAACTTTCATCAGTTTCTAGTTGAAATAATGGCACTGTGCGTTATATTACATACTCCTGTTGTCATCCCATGCTGGGTCTTGTGACTCGTGTGTTGTGACTAGATAGTGTCACTCCTTTAGTCAATTGCAATATTGACCCAAGATGAACTTTATTATGTCGCTAGTAATTACATTTGTATAGCCGATGTGGGCAACATAGACAAAAATAAATATCTAGATTTTTTTTATTGTCCTGTTGATAATATTCATACAGTATTATGGCAAATGTGCCTGTAAATGTCTTGGTTGAGGTTAAAATATCACACAAAGAGTTAAGAGACTGTATTAACCACAAAAGTAACGAAATGTCACCATAGAAGCTTCATTATGAGGCCCTGTAATAAGGCCGGTACTCCTGCAATAAGACTTTTTGAATAGTTCTTTCATATAGATAGTAATCTTGATATTCTAATTTTACATCTCTCCAAAACATACCATACATTTATCTCCCACCTCTGTGTTTAGCTATTGTTTTGATAAGATTACAATGCTAAAAGAAAGGATTAAAACTATCCCTTTTCTTTGAATGAATTACTGCAAACCCTACAATACAGTAATAAATCTTTCTTTATATAGGTTGCATTTAACAGGCTTTTGCTATTTCCAAGGTTACGTCTCCATGAGGCGAAAGTGATCAAGGACCGGAGGCACCACCTGCGGACGTACCCAAACTGTTTTGTGGGCAAAGAACTAATTGATTGGCTGATTGATCACAAGGAGGCCACAGACAGGGAGACCGCCATTAAGATTATACAGAAGCTTTTGGACCAGTGCATCATTCACCATGGTGAGACAGTGGCTGGTAACACTCTCCCACACCTTACTCTTACTTGACATTTTCTGGGAACCATGTCTGCCCTGTGCACTGTAATATACCAGTATTAAATCGTTGTACTTTGAACATACAAAAACTCTTATCTTTGGGCACCTTTTAAGCAAAGATTTTGTATAGTAGCCTAATATTGAATGTTAATGACATATTAAAATGTGTCTCATAAGATCAGATTTTATAATATTAAACAATTTCAAGATAAAGATTTTCAGGTAAAAAGTTCCACTATTGGGAAGCATAATGGTATTTTAATCCAAGGTGGAAATTTGCATTATTTTTTTGTGCTTAAATTTTTTTTTTTTTACAAACCTGACTAATGCATTGCTATATAATGACACTACATTTTCATCCATATTAGTAGACTAAAACTTGTGTGTGACCCTTGGAATTCTTTCCTCCCAGTTTGTGATGAGCACCGGGAGTTCAAGGACATGAAGTTGTTTTACCGCTTCAGAAAGGACGATGGCACATTTCCATTGGACAATGAAGCCAAGGTCTTCATGAGGGGACAGCGTCTCTATGAAAAGTAAAGACACATTATACACACTGATAGTACACTTAAAGAAGCATTGTGTAACTTTTTGGGGGTCTACCATCTCATCATCTCATTACTCTTAATGTGAGCCTGGTTGCATTTCCACAGATCTGACCTCTAACTTGGCCTGGTGGCACCTTCTTGTCTCAACGGAGCTAGATACATTTAATACCATTCTGCAAAGCATAACATCTTCATGCAGACAAGCAGCTGGTGGACCCCAGAAAAGTTAAAGTTACACAGTGCACCTGGTCTTTGTTGTCTTGAGATTATTTCCATCAAGCAAATTTTAGATATGAAGGCGACTGAACTGTTGATAATGTGTTACGTAATCTCGATTGTTTAACATTATGTCATCTCTTATCAGTATGGAAAATGTGTAATAATACATTCTATTTAGTTATACTAGGCTGGATAAAGCATAATCCACCAATGTTTGTATATCAAAAACTGACTTTATTTTCACATTGTCAGAAAAGTTAGATTCCATTAAAAGTGCATTTACAAAATAAGGAGTAAAATATAAATTGCATTGCATTGTTCCCCTATCCCTCCCTCATATAAACAATATTTGAGCATCCATTTATTATTGACACTGTTGGTGAGATCTTTGCACCTTACACTGCCTTAGAGGCCGTTGCATAAGAGGAAGAAAGTTAGAGTGGAGGCATCTGTCGTCTGTGCTTATGTAAGTGCAACAGTACAACACAGTGCAACCCAGGGCACACTTTATTGTGACACTGGCCCACTTAAGGCATTTGAGGAATAATCCTTATCACCCTAGTTTTTTATAATGGTTTGTTTTTATTATTATAAAGTCTCCAGCTGTACCACAAATAATACAAACATTTTGACTTCCATTTGACTAGCGTGACTTACATTTCAACAGTCTTTATAATCCTAAAAGCACATGATTGTTATATATTCAGACAATATTGTGAACTTCCTTGGTTCCTCTTTTTCAGTCACATGCAGTTCCAATGGGGAAAAATGCACTGACAACCACATTGATTTTTACACTGTCTACTAGATTTACACTAAGTCCTATAGCTCACTAGAGTAAACACTGGATTGGTTTAAAGGGAAAATTAGCCGAAGGGAGTATTATATAGCCTTCTAATCACTGTTTACTTGGCTCTGTATCCTGCAAGTTCACTTAACATACAAATACATACACATAGATACATAACATTTAGTTCTGCACATTTTTATTTCTTGTAGCACAGGCATATTACAGTTTGCATTCACACACTTAATGGGAAAATATAATGAATGAATAATCACAGCATGTTTTTGGGCCAGTATCTATTTTGAGAAGAGTGGTACAAAATGTATATCATGTGACAATGTGAATGGATTGTTAGATACTTATTACCTCCTGCTGAGTTTTACATTGTATTACATATTATGGGCTTTCAAATCAGGTCATACGTGGAAAAGTGATGTAGGCACTAAGATTAAGATTAAGTTGACTAATCTGGGAATTCATTTTTTTTTTCTTAAAAATCACCCTTTAGAGTGAAAGGATAAGGTTAAGGTTATGTAATGTAAATCCACATTATATAAGGCGCACAGACAAATGAGCTCAAAGTGGCATACATTTCTACTACAAATTGATGTTTGTTTTACCCCATTTACTTGAATGCTACAGCGCATCCGTATAGCTATTTGTGGTTTAAAGAATGAATAGCACTAGTACGAGCGCTCCTATCCTCTTTTTACTCAGCAGATGATTTCAGTTATTTGTTTGGCCCAGAGCCTAACATTATCTATACTGATATTTAGCAGTAACATCATATCCATATTATTTCATAACCTGTAAAATAAAGGTTTCATGTGAACAGCATATCTTGACCACACACTGGGTACATTTACATAGCGATTAAACCCAGATAACAATAAACAGATAAAACAATTATTTTATCTGATTTTAGGATGTATTTACATGCACAAAAGAAATCTGATGTGCTTTTCTGGTGTTTTTGCTGACTGCACAAATAAACTCTGAGTTTAACCAGGTCAGCCAACCAAAATTACTGTGCAGCCTGTACACTGCAGAACACAGCTATAAATCTATGTATAGGACAACTCTGTTTTGTTTTGTTGCATGCAGCTAAACACTCATTTCAAATTGACGCCTTGAAAGTCAGACATTACATAAAGCAAATACATGCGCAAATTCCTATAGTGACATGCCCTACCTAATTATGGAAGATTACAATTGCACTCTTTGTTTTCTTATACTGTTAAAGCCACACCTAAGAGGCTGCTTTAAGGCTGCTTTATTAAGTAATTATAACATAATCGCATACGCATACGCATATGGCATTAGTTGTTCTAGATGTGTTTTTTTGATTGTTAAAAGTTGTTTTAGGGAGCTTTCTGCCTTGAAATTTTTGGCGCTGTTTACTAGAGTTATTATCTCCATAGTTCGATCCCTGGTCATTATGACATTTGTTGGATGTTGTTTATCTCCCACTGCGGCTTTTTCCTCTTTTGGGTCTTAAAATACAAGCACAAGCAACTCACTTCCCACAGCTACTCACAAATATGGAAAAAGTTCAAGATCAATGGTTGCACAATTATTAGTTTGTTATTTTGTGAGACTGTTGGACATGTTTTGACAAGTCCACCTGCAGGTTTCATAAAAAGTTGAGGAAGGTTTAATAAGATTATTATTATTATTATTTTTGTTTACTCGTAGGCCTGTCATGATAATCACTATATCGACCTATGATTCAGTGTGTGAAAGTTGGATTTTTATATGTTATTTTTGGCTAGTGGGGATTTTTATTTTATTTTATAAGATAATGGAGCAGTTTAGGTTTAACAAGTAACTTCTACGACTGATTACAGATACAGACTAATTAGCGTTTCATTTTTCTTTATTGAATTTTATGGGTTTTATTTTATTTTATTTTTTACAATGTTATACATTTCTAATATACATTTCTAATAATTCTAATCAAATTTTTGAGATAATCGTGCTTTAGCTTTATTGGGTCAGTGGCATAAATTTGTTCAATATTATTGTTTATCGTCTATATTTTCTGCAACAATATATCGCACCTCAAAATGTGTTACTGTGACAGGTTTATTTACTTATGTACTTTTTATTTTATCTAAAGAAGAAAACAATAATATTATTAAGCTTCAAGAAAATACAACCAAAAGACATGCAGGAATGCCTCAAAAAACTGAATGAAAATGTTTTTTTATTTAAACTGTGACAATTTAAATTCTTTCAGCTGCAACAAATACGATTTATAGGCCTAGCTAATGTATTGTATATGTGTGTGGGTGTTCTTTCACTCTGGATATTGTAATTTATTTGAGAACTTAAATCATGCCAAATCAGTTTATAATGCAAGACATTCATTGCATATTATCCAAATTTTTTTTGTGTGTATAGGCTGATGGAGCCAGAGAACAACCTGTTACAGAGCAGGGAGGAGGAGGGTGGGACATTTGAGCGAACCCTCGTGGCGTCGGAGTTTATTGATTGGCTGCTACAGGAGGGAGAGATGCCCACCAGAGAGGAGGCCGAGCAACTGGGACGAAGGCTACTCGAGCATGGCATCATTCAGCATGGTGGGCATAATATTTTAATAGATTTGAGCATATTTTAATTACACTTTATTCATATATTGCTACACTTTACTTCTGCTTAAGTATTACTCAAATTGGGGCTGCTTGGTACTGTTATAAGCTGCAGCACAACAATTGCCGATTGTCCTCACGCTTCAGTCCCCATTTCACGTCCTGTCAAAAAAATACTCCAGACCATAATGATCCATAAAAAGGGTTATTCACACTGATAGTGGGCTATACTAGGCAATGTTTTACCTGTATTAAGCTTGGATAAATTAGTTGTATTAAAAGACTTCTGACTTACGACAGCAAAACCCACCAAAAAATAATAATGATTTGCACCCATATGGTTTAAAGCATGGTACATCATTGCAATAAATTGTGTCCCAGTTTTCAGACTCTGTTATCAGGTCATTTAAGGACTAAAGTTGCATTCCTTCACAAAGTCCCCTTAACCTGAAAAACTGTCTATTCTTAACTCTGGCTCTAGACAAAAATATCCATCCACACAATGTAATCTTTGTTCTTAATCTCAACACACTACTTTAAACTGTTACAAAAGTCCTTCGTGCCCATTGAAAACCAAGGCTTCATGGACTTTTGAATGAAAAACTATTCTGCTTGTGAGAAAATGGGACTGATCTGACATATCACAATGCACAGTTGTTATCTTTATCTTTTTATATCAGTACTATAGTCATTGCTCAATTATTTATCACCAAAATTGTGTCAGAGGAAACCAAAATTAGATGTCACAGTCATTGTCACAAATGTGTTTTATCTTTTACCTAGTTATCTAATCTACTATCTACATGTTCTGTCATTTTGTATAGTGTAGTAAGTTTGAAATGAATCTCTAGTGTTTTCAGACTTTATAATGTGTTTCTGTCTGGTAATCATGTGACATAAATTTAATTTGTGGCTGACTGGTCTGTACCCATAACTAATTACCTACATAATATGAGTATTTTTTACAGTGACTCTTTGCTTCTGAATAGTAATGCAGCATTATTACAGTTTTGATTTTAATAGTGCTGAAAGTTTACATAGAAAGTTGAAGTATTATATACCATATAATACCATATGTATTTCAGCTTCTTGTTATAGGTGGCAATTTAAGGACTTTTAACCATTCATTATATAATATATCATAGTTACTTTTTAAATTATTAATTGCTTTTTTAAACTTTTACATTTTACTTATGTTTTCATTTAATTACTGAACTCTTATTTACATGGGAGGCATTGGGAGGCTCTTTTCTTACTGGGAGTAGTGCTGTCAAGCAATCTCCAAGCCTCAGGAATGTGTTGTGTTTCTGTGACTGCTGAGACACTGCTGCTGTTTGTTGTCACTTGCTTAATGTAATACGGAGTGAGAGCAGCTTCCTGCCACACAGCCATTTACTGGGAATAGTAGTCATGTTTAGCTGGGGTTCAAATGACATCACAATGTTCCATGGGCCTATTAATGTTTAACTGAGATGGCAGGAAACACTAATATTGTTAATGTACAGATTTTCAGTGTAATGAGATCATAGACCTAATCACAAATATAAACTGTCAGGTTTAACAATTGTGGATGTCACTGTGAAGATATAACAAAATCAATCATTTTGACATGGTGGGTAAAAATATTGATAGCTATAACAATTTTAAACAGTAATGGTGAAAAATAACGAGATGATACATACAATATACATACTGCCTCCATTTCAAGTATCTGAAAAATGTCAATAATGACAAGTATGTATGCGATGTGAAATCTACTTAATAGAGTTTCCATGTGTATATGTGTGTCACATTTCCTATGTAAAAATAACTGAACTGTCCTCATTCCTCTAATTTCTCTCCTAGCCTGACAGTTAGCGGTTGTTGTTTCCCTTTCCCATTCAGTATTTACTGGCAATCACAATTGTTTAGATACATAGAATACAAACATTCCAGCATTACTAGAAACACCATAATAAAACAACTATTTGTTCATTTCATTTGGTCATATTGGACTGATGGATTACAGTGCACTCAGGTCAGACAGTTCGTCCATTGTCACTTATTCTTTTGTCTCTTGTAATAAAAGGTTTTTGTTTGCTTGACAAAAGCCAGCTCCCACTGACGTACATGCAGACTGACCACAACCTTCTTTACACTATAGGCAGCTAGCAATGTGCTTCCATCCACGCAGGTACACTCCATTAACTCCATGTGTACCTTACTGTATAATATAAGCCATGTTTCCAGATTAGGCTGTACGCTTCCCTTTATCTCTAATATGTTGCCCTGGTGTCCTGCTTTCACATGTGGAAGGTCATTGCACTTAGAGGCCAATATATGTTTGTTCAACAGGTGAACTCTACAATGCAGCTGTTTATTTAATACTGCTTGCTTGAATTTTAAGAATTTCAGGGTCATTTGGACTGAAACTAGGTGAAGTGATGATACTATTTTAGACTAAAGTGTCAAGTCCACTCTATATTGTTATGCTATACAAATGTGGGACAAAGATTAACTATTATTTGTGTTCTTCTCAGTTACCAACAAGCACCACTTTGTTGACGGACCGCTGCTTTACCAGTTCAGGATGAATTTCAGACGGAGAAGGAGGTTGATTGAGCTTCTTCATGAGCGAAGTCGGACCATCCCGGAGAGCCATGACAGTCCGTTCTGTCTGAGAAAACAAAACTCAGATGGGAGCAACACCAGCTTTCTCTCAGGTACAAACTATCATTTACATACAGACAAAGACTGTGCTTTGTTTATCATTGTTGGCTTAAGTTTATTGACAGACAGATTAAAACACATGATAAGGTTAAGGACTTTTTGTTAAGGACAGTTTGTTGTGCCTAACTGCAATGTTTGTCAAACAGTGGTATGTGTACCCCCTGTGGTGCAATGACTCCTTGCTGGTGGGTCTCAGGGTTTTCTGCTGTTCATTAAAGTTGGCAGTTGACCCGGTTTAGGCCTGGTTTAGACCTCGTTTACACTTGTTTTTTTTACTTGTTATTGAGTCTGGGTGTAGGCCACTTTGTGTACTGTTTTTAGACCTGGCTTATTATTGGCCTGGTATGGTACCATACTTGTAAGACCAAATATTTTGTTAGATGGTACTTGAAAAGGTTTAATGTACTCCACACAAATTTTATATTATCACTCTACACACTCTACTGTGAGTTTAGCTTGAAGGTAATTTTCTATTTTTATAATATCACTCAAATGGTGTCTGTAACCAGCCTGTTTCTGTTCTTCTCCTGGTCCAGTTAGTCCTACTAAAGAGATAAAGGTGGTGGTGGGGGTCCGCCGCAGCAGCCTGAGCAGCAGCTGTGGGAGCAGTGGTTACTATAGCAGTAGTCCGACACTCAGCAGCAGCCCACCAGTCCTGTGCAACCCCAAGTCAGGTATTACTGTCACCCATTGAGTTATTATTGAGTTACTGATACAAAAGGTTTAAAAGGTAAGTACTGGACAGTGTTTTTGAAACCAATACATTCCAACTCTCACCAAGAATTATTTTCAATTTGATGGGAATGGTCTGAGAAAGTAGGATTTATACCACCCTAAGTTAAATAAGTCCTGCTTCCAAAGGGAGGTACATTATGAAGTAGATATGATTAATTAAATGTAAGTGTTATCAAAATACCAATTGTATTACTTTATGTAAGTAATAAGGACTGAATAAGGATGATAACTGCCCCACGACTGAAGGTTTCCTGTGATCAAAGCAGTGCCCTTGACAGACCTTTCTTTGTAGTGCTGAAGTAAACACTCACAAACAATGTAATACAGGAAAAGGAAGGCACTTGGACATATTCCAAAAACATAGGATTTCTCCAACTTCAGTTTGACACAGTGTGCGTGCAAGTGTGAAGTGTGGCAGTGTTGGATCACATTATTATACATGATTACTCACATCACTTGCCATTTACTTGAATCCCAAAATTAAAAAACAAAGGAACTATGCTTTTAAAACAGTTTTATATAACACATATTCACTTACTTATCTGCTATTCTGTGGTTGTAACTTGTTTAGGAAATACTGTAGTATTGTTTAATGGATACCCAGGAAAGCTATACATTGTGTTTACATATGGTTAGGTAAGTCTGCAAAGAGGAAGTTTAAAGAGTGGTTAGCTATACTGTTACATGTGTTTCAGGAAGTAGGGAGCCCCCAGGCCTTGTTAACATGTGACTCACATTAACACTTTCCTCACACGCTTTCTGCATCATTTATGTTGTTAGGGCAAAGCTCTAGTACAAATCAGCTGCTTTATGTAAAAACGTGGAGACCCTAGTTTTTTTCTTACATTTTAATTCATATTTTTAATGTTTTGAACTATTGTAATTTCAGAGAAAGTAGGTTAATTAATTTAGTAATGATAGTTTTAAATCTAGCTAACATTATGTTTTTTCTTTACCAGTTTTAAAGAGACAAGTGAGTCCAGAGGAGCTACAGGCACCGGGAGGACCCTTTATAAAGAAGACATTCACCGTACGTCACCAGAACAATAGCATCCCTCGTGATTTTTAAATTAAGGAGCTCTATAGTCATGTGTATTAATGTGCCAGATACTATTGCCTTTTTTAAAACCACAGCCCCAATATAATTATGGTCTTTATTGCAACTGTAAATTTTATAGACAAGTAATTGAGTCAGCATTATTAATGTTTTAGTGTTCCTAACTGAACCCATTTAGTCATTGTTTAATACAATTTTAGAATTGATTTAGTTATAGTTCAAACATATTTTATGCCATTATAACATCGGTTTTGTCCAGTATTACATTAGTCTGATTGTACTTTATTCCTTGTTTAGTACGGATTGAGTTTGGTTCAGTCCGGGTTTAGTCCTGGCTTGTTGTTGAGTCACTACTCATTTGAAAAGCCTAATGGTCAAAAAATGCTTCCACTACAATGACCACAAATATATAACAGCTGTTGGCTTGCTATGTATGTGTTCAGTGTACATGTTTATAGCAATAAAATGCATGTTTTTCTTTTTCAGATTGTGGGTGATGCAGTTGGATGGGGGTTTGTTGTGCGAGGCAGTAAACCTTGTCACATTCAGGCAGTGGACCCTGGCGGCCCTGCAGCTGCTGCTGGCATGAAGGTAAGATATGAACTCAAGATATGAACCCAGTGAACCACAAACTAAACTATGGCCATATAGTCACATTATAATTGGGATTGTATAATATTGCTCCAATCTATTACAAAAAGGTATGACATTTACATAAAACATTTGCTATACATTTACTTGTGCAATTTCTCAAAATCTGGAACAAACGTCTCTACTGAGGCTTTTAAAACATACTTCCTCTAAAAGTTAGCATTTGACTTTGCAGAAATGCTTGTGAATACATATGTCACCAAAATAACTGTGAACATGATATATGAGCAGCCTCGCTACGAACTTCTTTAAATAACTTTACCTTAAATGTGCAATGTTTTCGTTATGGACACCACTTTATGCTGTATTTCACATTTTAATATACCATCACATGAAAACAAGTTAGCAATTTTCCTGCCTGACTTGAGAAAAACAGTCCCACTTGCTTTTTTTAGATAGTTGTACAAATGTAGGAAGTTTGACAATGGCCAGGATGAGGCAAAGGAGAAGCGTTTAAGAACGAGAAAACATGTCTGAGGATAGATAAATAAATACAGCCAGGGACGTGGACAGAAGGGGACTGCGCAGGCACAGCTGGCATGTTGGTATGTTAGTAGAGTGGCAACAAGGAATTCTGGGAATGCAGATAATTGAGCCACTCTTTGGCCTCAACTTCAGAGAGCAGAGAGGCATGACCCTGGTGAGTGAGTACACAAATGTGAAAAGGAAGTTAAATCAAAGACTCGCTCATTCAAGGTTTTAATCTCATGATGAATTAAACACAACTTCAATGTGATTTAAATGTGCACTATGTAACTTTTCCACTTTGTCTGGAATATTTTACTGTATTGCATTAAACTGACCAAGTTATAGGTCAGATATGTGAAGAGGCAAGTCTGCTCACATTAAGAATGTATTTGTGGGTAATAATATTAATTGAATAAAAGCAAGGTAGATATGTTTTATGCAATATTGTTCAAGGCATTTAATAATATTTCCATAAAGGCAAGCAGGTCCCAAGCCAGCACCCAAAAAGCTACATAGTGTACCTCTAATATTAAAAATAAGAAAAATATTTGGAGTAATTCTAAGGAAAAAATGACGAGTGGGAATAAGTCAGTCAAAAAGAGGAAGTGGTATTATTATCACTTCTGCTTTGTTGGGGTTGTATTTTATTGCCATAGAAACCAGTCGGTGATGAGCCGGTGCACTCATAAAATGTTTGTTTTAGGTCTTGTCTGTGTTTAACTGTTTATAGAAAGGCTTGCAGACAATTGTTAAGTTTGCAAGAGATCATTATGTTTATATGCTAATATAAACTAAACTAAATTACCCACCAAACATTAATAGATTTAGTGTATTTGCTTATTTATGCTCATTTCACAGACATCATTTTGTTTGGTTTCTCTTCTCTTAAGTGCTTTATTGACATAATAAAGCAATAAGACAATTTAATAGTAGAGAATGATGTTAGCATTGCAGTCCAGATAAGAAGTGATAATTCACACCCACTGAATTCAGAGGACAGACTGTAAAAGCATCACTGACCTCCTCATCTCTTCTTATATAAAAGGCTTTCAGACTTTCAGAGTGTTGAACATGTCTGCCCCTTTCCCATTAAATGCTGCCGTGTACTTACCCCATATGTGAGGCCTTATGCTTCACATCCCCAACCTGAGCTAATGGACTTGCATAAGGCTTTAGATAGAACTGGGAGTGCCAGCTCAGCAAATCAAGACAGTGGAAGAAAATATATGCTACAAACCTTTTTTTTTAGCCTGGCAGGTGACTTGAGTTAAAAATATGAAGTATGTAACATGTTGAACAAAATATTAGAGATTAACTGATATGTTTTTTTTCATGGTTTAGAGTCCAGAGCAACCAATGGCCGATAAGCTCTGCAGATATTTTTGAACTGATATTTTGGTCTGATTTTGATTATTTCCAGCCAGATATTGTAATTTAAATTTACTAGTCCCTCCAAACCCTGTTTTTCTACAAACCTGAGCTATGTAGTTTTGTGCAGCGATCTATTCATATTAAAGTTTTAGTTTAGAAGCAGATTGACCAAAACAAAGTATCGTCATATGCTGGAGATTTAAGATTGAAAGTCAGTATGCTAAAAAGTTGAAATAACAGACAACAGATATATTAGTCTATTTCTACAAAATATCCCCATCTCTGTGTCGTGCCACGATTTGTATAATGTCAGATGGTTTTTCACCTACCATCTTGGCTTGAAATGAGCAAAGATGTACATTTACCTGAAAAACCTGTCATAATTTTAATCAAATAGTCAATATGTAATTTATTGCAAAACATATTTATTTGTAATGCCCACCAACTCATGCCTGCTGGTCCTCCAAGCTTTCTTCCCCTCAAGACAGAAAGGAAAATGATTGTGTCATTCATGGGTTTCATTTCATGCTGCATCTCCCCATTTGAACTGGCTCTGTACTGCGATTACATTTACAATATATCATATTCTGAGTACCCATTGTAAACAACTTCAGGAGCATTAACATTTGAGAGAAGACTAAACTAATAAAAGAATCACATGAAATTCAGACCATGTTTGTAGAGGTCAAGACTTTCTATGAAAAAACAGTATATTTAGTGTGATATTGTGATATAAAGTGTGTATAGCTTTTGTGATTTCACTGAACCAAATCAAATTTCAATTTCTATTCTATTACAATAAATAGAGCAGCTGCCCTACTACAAATGTCATGGAAATGTGTGTTAGATATCTCTTGGGGCACATCTTCATGATCCCCACCAGCTGTGTGCAGTTTGTACAGAAATATTACCCTCGTGATCACACGGCGTACTCACATACTGCTCTTATTGCCTCATGTGAGTTAAGTTTTCACTGTGTATCCTTGGCCTTTTTTCTTCCTCTCTGTGTGTCCCTTTAACCCACTCTAAGCAAGAGGCCATTCATCGTGTGCAACTGGGCCCCAAGCCAAGTCTAATAACACCGCTGCTAGGAAGAAGAGCACTAGAGGAGGGAGCAGGAGCTAGTTACAGAATCTAAAGCAAAGGTTAAAAGAAACAGATGAACAGAAAGAAGTGTCCAATGTGCAATACAATATGTGCTGTGTTGTAAACTATAAATAGGCCTGAACACTCCCCTTGTTTACAACTTTATCTGTTTTCCTGGAGTTTAGATCACAATCCAAAGAAAAAGAAACATGTAGTTACTTAGACCAAAATAGAAAAGGCATGAAGGAAAAGTTTAAAGGTACTCTGTAACTTTTTGGCAGAGGGTCTGCCACAAAGTTGTTGCTTTGCTTTAAATATTGCACATTAAACATATTTATCTTTAATTTATAGGCTTTTTATTGCTCAAATTGTTTTAAGTATGCAGTCTTACTTGGAGCAGGGTCATTTCTCCACTGAGCTTACCTAGTTGTGCTTCCAGCTTGTCTCCATGGAGATTGATATTTTTAAAGCCATACTGTGTAACATTCTAGGCAAAGCAATAACATCTCAATGGTGAGAAGCAGGTGGCAGTTCCTCTACCAGTAAAATGACATAATGCACCTTTAAGTTAACCTTTCCTCTCTTTGTACTAGGGATAGTTGTATTTGACTCATCCTTTTATACACCTGTGTCATAGTGACAGTGGGTGATTTTAATAAGGCTGTATATTTTATTATAATCTAATTAAAAATGGAATTTGGACATCACACATTAAAACCGCCAAAATATACAATATAATTTTCTCTACACCAAAATAACCACTTTCCATGTTCCATGTATGTATGCCCGCCCTGTGCTTTAGAGTTAGCTACAAACATGTGAAACCTGGTGATTCTTGTATTTGTTTATTTTTCAGTCTTCATTCAACTGTTGATATGATGTGTATAATATCATCACTGACTGACTGTAAAATATACATCATAATTGGGTATTTTTCCATAATCCTTCTTCCCTACAAGTTTGAAACAGATCCCATGTGGCTGAGTTGCAAAACCAAACCACAGCAGCCGCATCATGTTGCAACATTCACAGTGTACGGAATACAAGTCTTATTTTTATCTGTGCCAGGGCAGTGGTTAAATACTGATAAGGAAGGTGGAGTCCTGGCATGATACAACAGTGATTAGAGTACCTCTTTAAAATCTTGATTCACTTTTATTACTTTTATATATACTTTTATTCAATTAGTTTTTAATTCAGTTGCTGTATTTAGTAATGGGCAAAAGAAACCTGTTTGTTACATGGTATTTTCTTGCAATATGGTATTTATATGAGCTATTTATATGGGCAGAGTATTTGTGGTATGGCTGTAGTCCTTTTAATTGAATTGAATACATCTATTTACTTATTTAGAGATGCTGTTAACAAGTGCTTAGATGTTTTTGCATGATATCCTACTTTTTTAACCATGTCACATCCCCCTTTTAATCGAGTAACTGACCATGAATTGTCAGGATATTCATAGTACATCTGTTGATGGTTATAAAGGATTTACTAGCAACTAATTACAGTCTTTGATTCTTACATTATTAATGAATGTCAAATGTAATGGTCGGAAAGAATTTCTTTAATGGACAGACTTATTTTTATGGCCAGCCGTCTTTATTTTACCAAACATGATAGCGTAAAATGGGGGTGAAGAGTGGGACAGACAATCAGCAAACTGTGGAAGCTGGCTTGGTGCTCAGCATATGTCCTGTGACCAGTCTTCTGATCCATAATAACATTTTATGCACTCTGGTTCTAACATAATAAGAATATTGTGTTTGTCTTTTTCTTGCAGGTTTGCCAGTTCGTGGTGTCTGTGAATGGTTTGAACGTACTGTCACATGACTACAGAACAGTGAGCAACCTCATCCTCACTGGACCCAGGACAATTGTTATGGAGGTGATGGAGGAGATTTGAATAGAAAGACAGAAAAAAAGTGCACAACATAGTACACTTTCTGCAAAGATAACTTCAGAAGAACTTGCCCTTGAAAAACCAGAGCAGCAGTGACTGGAGACTCAACTTGTTCACTTTGTTTGGACAAGGTGGGTGACGGGCCAGAACTATGTTTAAAAGTGCGAAGGTTGAGTAAATGATTCTTGAAAACAGGACAAGAATATGTCCGTAGATGCACAAAAACTGTAAAGAAAATGTTTTTAAAAAATCATTCAACCATGTTGCGCTAATCTCACTGGAAGAGACAAAAATCTGAGTCAAATAGCATCATGAATTTGATTGTTAATGGGATTACAGTATTGCAGGGATTTCCAAGTATTTCGTTCACATCTAAAGATGACCCAGGAAGAATGATTCACAGGCCTTGACCCATGGCATGTGACCCCCACTTGTGGCCACTCCTGAAGATTTTCTGGCCCTGGTCTGCCCTCTGCTGGAAGAATGGAATACTGAAATAATTACAACTTTTTAAAACAAAGTTGTAGATGAACAAAACACACTAGGAAAACTCACTTGTACCTAAATATCTTTGTATACAAAATGAATTGAAAACATAATCAAAATTATCAAAACTGTAATTTAATAATTAGACTTTTCTGGTGATGTTTGCTTTTTTGCTTAGTTTGTTTGTTTTGTAAACAAACATTAGCACAATAACCAATAGTTTGAATTGACATAAGCACTTAAGTGATAAATGATTGCTTTTATAAATCTTGTATTTACATTCTACAAAAATAACGCACAATCAGTCACTTAATATTGTGTGAAGAAATACTCTTAGATGTTATGACAAACACATGTATGTACATGTTTACTGACCACATTGATCACTATATTGTTTGGACAAATAATATTTTAAATTCAAAGTTAGACTATGTTTAAAGCTCAGTATATTTTTGCACCTCATTGGCATTATGTGTAAAGGAAGTTTGATTTGAGTGCGATTTTATTATACAGGTCTAAAAAGAGCATGGTTCACATGTAGGTCTGTAGTTTGTAAAGCCAGTCCTATAAAAACTTTATGAATTAAGTTTTGTTACTTTAGAGAGGTTCAGTAAAGATACTCCCATAGCTTCACATAGCACATTTCTTGCAAGTATCTGGCATGTCTCTAGTGTCATCTTGTTAAAGTCAATGTCAGTCCTGTTAAGTCGTAACATGCATGACGTCTGAAGACTAGTTGTATATTTTCACAGTTTAGAAATAATGATAAAAGAGAGTTGTAGATTTTAAAACCCTTACTGAACCCTCACTGTTAGCTGTCAGACTAGCATTTTAATATTTTGTCAAACTACTATTTAACTTACTCTTAACATTTTTGTTGACGTTTAAAGGATGAAATGGCTGCTTGTAATGAAAAGTTATAGATGACTTAAGAAGATTGTAACATAATTCTTAAAACCAGCTTTAACTTTCTGAACATATTTTGTCACTGTGGTTGACTAACTGCAACTTTTACTTTTATGTTAATATGTTATATTTCTCATAAAGCGATTGTGCCTGGGACTGTTTCCAAAAGCGGGTTATAAAGGGGACAAAGGTTGCACTAGACTCGTATAATAATAAAAGAGTGTCTGGTGTGGCCTCAGAAAGATCTTGAACAGGTTAGTAGGTCAAAGCTGGTAAATACAAAATGTTCTTTGACTGTTCAACTACAAATATTTGCCTTAACAACTTGTTTTGCTGCTATTACTGCTTAGCCTCTTCCTCAGTAGCTCCAATCATTTAGACAATCAGTGTCTGCGTGTTGGTGTGAACAGCATTTACAAGAAGCACAATGGAAAGCAATGGAATGATGTACTGATGGTGTTATTACAGCATTTTACGTTGATGTAAAGCCGACTGTTATAAAAGGTACTGCAGAATTATTTTTAGACTTTTGTGGGACTTTGCGACAGTAGCTTACACCATCAGTTGTTGTAGCTATGGTTCATTTGGATGTTCTAATACAATAAAACAAAAAATAATACTAAACTGACTGAGTGGTCTTATCTGGGGAAAAAAGAAAAGAAAAAACTCATATGCAGTGGCAGAGTCAGCAATTTGGGGGCCTTAGGCAAACTTGAGTTTGGGGCCCTCACTATAATGCACACTTTTTTTGTTTTGTTTTGTTAATATATTTATTGTCTGTTTTCCCCATTGTTTTTGAGACATACACATCTCTATGTATTTGGATTGTCTTATTTGTTATGTCACCTATTAGAAAATCAGAGCTGAAAGTAGTTTTTTTTTTTTTTTTTTTTTGCTAGTACATTACATTTTTGTTTACATCCATTACATGTGATTATTATTACTTTTCTTATGATAATTGTTTAAAAGTAAACTACTGTCATTTAATGTCATATTGAGAGGAAATCAAATTACCCTGAGGCCTCGGCCATTAGTGGGACTGAGGACAATTGGTTAGGGGCCCCTCCAGATTTGGGGGCCCTAAGCAGCAGCCTACTTTTGCCTAATGGTAGCATCTCCTCTGCTCATACGTAAGAATGTGATCATAAGGCTTACATTAATTTCTAAAAAACAATTTCCTAAAATCAGAGCCGATTATAAATTGGGTCTGTTTATTTTCCAGGAGGTAATATTGTTCAAGCAAGCCTGTACATTGCTTTAACTGCCAAAAGGGGGCAGCAATATACCACATTGGAATGAAGTCTTAAAGCACTGTTGCCAGTCCCTTCTACATTCTGTTTTAATGTAGAGCAGGTGTCAGGGAATTGACCCCGACCTCAAATATTAAAGAACACGCCAGGGACACAGTGGTTGGTTTTACTTGCGCAAGGAGTAAGAGAGAGCTCTGCCTGTCGCAAGGAGTAGGAGAGAGCTGCCTGTCTCATCCTAACTCAAGCTCTCTTCTCTCCATCAGCCTTTTATTGTAGAGCACACAATTAGCATACAGTAGGTTACTTTGAATACAGTACCTATTGTTCACATGTTGTCTCATGACTGACAAGCTTCCACTGACACAGCCCCCCATTATACACAGGTTTCACATTCCAGGTGGTAGAGCCTCTAGCAATTCCCCAGAGTTCTGTGTTAACCTCATGATGTTTACCATTACTATTTGTTTCTCCCGGGGTACATTATCTTTAATGAGTCAGCCAATGCATCAGCAAGATCACCTGATACAGCTTGAACACAACAAGACAAGTAAAACAAAAAGCCAATGTTGATAACTTATACTACATCATGATTGCCTTTACATGAGAAATGCTTATAACATAAAAATTCTCTAACAGCAGGCATTTGGTTCATTTGTCTTCCAATCAATTTAAGAGACTATGTACATTTGTATATGATTTCGAAGCTTGTCTTTCTGCATAGAGATATAATTATTTTGCCGGAATGTCCACAAAATGGCACAAAATGTAACAAAAAAGTGATTGTTTTAGCAATAAAAACATTCGTAATTGAATAAATGTGAGTTTGTTGCCATGCTGTGTCACATTCCAGGCAGAGCAATATAATTTTCAAGAGATAAGCAGGTGGCAGACCCTCCACCAGAAAAGTTATACAGCACCTTTAAAGGCAACTCCAGTCATTTATCATATTTAATAATATGTCTACCATACGTACAATATAGGCTGCAAGCAAAAATATGTATTGTCAGTTTTGTTAGGCTGCTGGTTCTTTCCACAGCACAGAGACTTCAAAGTAGCGTGCTGTACATTCACGTCTTTAATTTGGATTATTGCGGTGTTGTACTGTATTGCACTGTTGCCATTCAAATGTCTGACCTTGCATTCACTGTGTTTGATTAGCTCAGCCTCATCTTTGTAACTGTGAAGAAGTCTATGGAAGTACAGAGTCATGACTGAGTCGTAGGTGCAGACAGGAAATTAGTGTCTGTCAGGAGAATTATATTAATAAAAGACCACTGTCAGCCACATGAACTACTGTAAGCTTTGATTTAGACTACTTGAGAAAGTACTTGCAGCTTACATCACTTCAATTTTGTGCCCTCGAGAAGTAGGCTATTCTACTTGTGACATTATTTTTCAAGTGGGCCTGATAAGTTATAGGCTCACTATATTAGGCCTTACCAAATAGGCCTACATGCTTGCTCTTCCAAACAAGCTCTCTTTCTAAGTCTAGGCTCTTAATAATAAAAGCTTCACAGTGGTGATTTGAAACTTTTTTGGATCTTGTAGGCCTACCTTAAGTTAACTTTTTGTTTTAATTTTAGGGAAATAATGAGAAAAATTTAAATTATTACCAGTCTTAATCTTAATTAAGTTAAAATATATACCAGGCTTCATCAAGGTACTCAGTGACTATAGCATGCCTATTTTAACACACACACACGTACACAAACTCTGGAGGTATTTCACGGCCTCTTTTTACTTCAGGCTCACTTGAGAAGGCTTAATACTGTTTTAAATTAAAAGTAGTCAACTCTTTCTACTTCTTTGACTGCCCTACCACCTTGCATGTCTCAATATCTGTTATAAAATCATGTAACGCATTGACGATTTGTGCATAGAAAATGGCTGTATTCATTTCATAATCCCAGGACTCATTAAAGATTATGCTAGATAGAAAACAGTGCCAACTTCAACACAAGTAGATCAAAGCTTTCACCAAATGGCATATATTAAGATCATATCAAGGATTCAAGAACCCAGTTGGCCCAATTAAGGCAATGCAGAGGAAAAAAAGATCAAAATTAATTTAATATAAAAAGTATATGTAAAAATCTAAGTGATACCACCTAATAAAGGAGGAAGAGCAGAGTGAAGAGATGCTCTATGTCAAATGCAATGATAATGATAGTTGGTATCAGGTATCAGCTCATTGTCACATCATGATGAAATATGGTGGAAATGTAGGTCATTATTCCAAAGAGTGTTATGCAATGTATCTATGCAATCAAGTGCATCCCTCGTGGACATTGTATTATTATTGTGCTATAGGGACAATTTAGTTAACTCATCAGTACATAGAAAAGTTATATTAATATTTTACTGACAATAATAATAAAAATAATACATATTGAAATTACAAAAAATAAATGAGTGTATACAGGAAATACACCTCCTCCTGCCCCCTATTTGAGGAACAGCTGTCGATGCTATGTGCCCTCTATATCCTGGATGGCTCTGGGCTGTGATTACTGTTTGAGCTGAATTGTCCCCCACTTCCCTCCCCACAGGCTCAGGGCGAGTCGCAGCATGAAGAAACTTTAGCCCTTTGTCCAAGTACTCCCTAACTTCAGTCTGCCAACACTATCAATGACCAACGACCACTCACTGTCAGCAGCCTCAGTTGTGAATTATTTGCCCCATTATTACAACATTTGATACTAGGCAACTGGTAAAGCCATTGGACCACTTATATTCATGTCAAAGGAGAAATATTTATTCTCAAAGAAGTCAAGCACAGGTAGCAGGGCTGTCACTGAAGTATTAGATCCCACCAAGGTAAAAAGAAAGAGAAATGAAAAATGTAAAGTTGATGGGGTGTAAAATATAGCCTAAGTGCCTAAGCAGCTGCCAAGCCAAATACAGCAAGAATATTTTTGTGAATTAAGAAACTACACATTTATCAATAATAAATCACAAAACCTGCTTGTTCAGGTCAGCACGGTCAGGAGTGAGGAAATTAAATGATTAGCTTATGTAAATCCTATATTTTATTCAAGTCATAAAAAATATTGAGTTGCTTAGTGATATTTCATGTTTTCCAGCTCAAAAAAATCAATACTTTTGGTATAAGTAAAGGTACACCCTGATATCTTCTGCACTCTTAGCATACGACGCACCACTATTACCAGCAACTGCAGTGAAGAAATGTACATGAAGCTAAAGACATAAGCTACAAGCTTGTAAAGTATGTTACATTTTAGTGTAATAAATTATGGTAAACTATTATGTGTGGAGACTGAACGTCTTGATTTGCCACTCAGTGACATCACAAGGTGTCACAGAGTATTTTGAGCTCTAGAAAGGGAGACTGCTTAAATATGCAGCCAGGATACTCATGCATGAATAAAACAAAACACAACTCCTGATATGTCTTTATAGCAAAGGAACTTTAAAGATATTTCTTTATGATAAATGTTGCAAATTCTTATCATCTTTTATTGGGGCATGATTTATTCATGAGGAAAGTAATCGTTCTAAACCAATACCATATCTCTCTTTGCTGTTCCAAAACCTGGAGAGGGTGCGATTATGCCAAATCAATATTTAAACCCTGCACCCGAAAGGAAGCTGATCATTTTGTATGCTGGACCTATTAATTACAGAGGAAGAACAATTAATGAATCTCATAGCAATGTTTTCCATACCATGGCCTGCTTTATCCCAAATTCAAAGATCTCCTATCAGTGTGTTTCAATATAGATTCTTGTAACCTACCTATACATTATCAAAACACATCAGTGTGGTTGAAAAATGCAGTGGGACCCTTTGACCTGTTCAGTACAGCTCCCTGGGAACAGCCTGGTGCCAGATGAGAGGAGCACTAATAACTGTGTCAGGTTGGACTAATCAAAGGCTATGGGTCACTCCAGTTTAGCCGAGCCCTCACATTAACACAGCACTTGTTATTAACACTCTGCTCACACCAGGCCAACTCTCAAGGTGTGTCCAAGTCTCAGTATGCAGCCTAGCAACTCTGTTTGAACTTCACTCCATGGCTTTAAAACAAACAAGCTCTGCAGTGGACTTGAAATGCATTGTTAGCACTGAGCTTGGGTTATCTCAGGATCTAGAAATGTAGGGCAGGGGGCTTCAGGTGTGGTACTGTGTGTGTTTAAGTGGAAGACAGAGACAAGAGGTGGGGGAGGTGTGGATTTATAGATATGGTTAACTCGAGTGGGTTTGACGATGACGAATAGGTCTATAATGATGCAGTTCCTAAAGCTGTCAGTGCAGCTCAAGTCTGGAGATGAAGACTGGAATAGCCAAGTGTCAATCAGATGTATTACTTTAAAGATTAACATTCAACTTTAACTAGTCGGAATATATGTGGCA